TGAACATTTTGATCAAAGATTCCATAGAAAAATCTTGATCACCTGGAGGGAAATGCAGAACACTACTTAAAATTCTCATGGACTCTAGACTTTCTGAAGCCATGGAGGGTAGATGAACCCCTGAATCTATTGCCCTGAGATAATCTTTAAACCTTGAGTCAAAAAATATCCCTTTCAAGTCATCTTAAAACCAAACAATAGTTTAACCAGTGGAAAAGGTCTGCCTTGAGCATTATGGTTTTTTAAGAACTATCTCTGTGGGATCAAACTGATAAGAGCATCATAAAAGATTAGACAGGAATCTTAGGGGGAAGTGAATTTATGTTTTTAGGGGAGGAACAACTCAGAAAAGAAAGGTAAAATAGTTGCACAAACTGAAGAATGTAACTGATATCACTAAATGGTATACAGAAACTTTTGAATTGGGGTATTGAACATACAACAAAAGAAATAATAAAGGAAAAAAAAGAACTGACAAAAATTAAAAAATAGGGAAACTCCATATCGACTGATATGGAATAATCTCCAAAATACACTAAGTTAAAAAATAATAGTAAGTTCTGCTTATGCACAGGGAGACAACTCAGGGGGCAGGAGTACATGGAGGGATAGACACAGGGAAGAGGTAACCATGGGGAGGAAGTGGGAGGGGAGCTGTTACATTGTGGTGGATTGTGGTCAATGTCATGAGACAAAGTGTATGTGAACTACTGTAGGGAAAGTGAATTTGTTTTGTAAATTTTCACCCAAATCACAATTTAAAAAAAAAATTAAATAAAAAAAAATAGTAAGTTGAAAATCATTATTTTTATAGTATGCAAGTATAAACAAAGCTTCACTTTAAGGCTGATCAGAGACTATAAAAGGACATAAAGCTGTGATTTCATTGAACTTACAGATTCAAATGCATGGACGGTTGTGCCTGCTTTGCTAAGGAATGCTTCTTTCATAAAGCCTAAACATGGCAAAATTTAGTCTAAGACATGTTTTCATATAACCTATTAATGAGGATGTAAACAAGTGGCTGCATCATACCCACACCTCAGTGGTCAGGACCACTACCTATGTACCAAAAAGAACCTGAGTTGAGCCTAACAAAATAGCTTAAGTCAGTTCATAAAAATTATCATACGACACATAAAAAGTCATGTTTTTCAAATTTATTTTAAACATTTCACATTAAATGAAATTTTACCATAATCATTACAGAGCATTACTATAATAGTACACACAATGAACTTTTAAAATAAAAGACAAAAGAATACAATCCTCAACAAGTTAAATGCCACTTGACCATGTAAACAAAAATAAAATAAAACCCTGATGCTAAAAGGTACATATTCAGAGGTAAAATATACAAAGACATTTAAATAATCTAATTCACAACGAGATCACATTCTTTACAAGAGTACACGTTAGTACTCTACATCTATAAAATTTCAGAATCCTGTTAAAATCAAAACCATCTCTGGTTTGATACAGCACAATTCGTAAGGCAAAAATATAGGCATTATCATCCAGTTCTTTAACTTCACTTGTATTTTAAGGCAAACTTGGAACTTTTTGCTTAGTATTTTAAAATAAATGTGACTTACACATGATAACCTGACAAAATTAACAATAAATAAAATATGTGTAATATAAAAACATATGGTAACAATTTTTCTCTCTGAAGAGATGTAAACTGGATTTTTATTGACTCCAAATTCACACCAGTAAGAAAACTTGTAAACCTTTCATTTTATTTAAAACTTACGTTTCTCACTCTTTTCAAATAAATGTATGTCAACACTGAATCAATATACTGTAAATGAAAAGCCAGTATTTATCCAAGCACAGAATAATCACACCTAATTACATCTAATTAAAGTGCTGTTAACAAAGGAAAAAAAAGGTTAAGGAGTAGAACTGGATGTTAATTTGACATGTGACATCTTATACTTTTGGACTACAGAGGTTATAGAGGTTGTCACAAGTTTATTGAAATTTAAGCAGTAAATTTATTGTAGAATCTGATTTTCCTGAAAATGAGCACTTAGGTGACAAAACCAGGAATCAAACACCAAAATTTATAACAAACACAGTATTATATGTACATGTATTTTCCTCAATGTTAGCCAGAGCCTCAATACTATAGGTTTTTTGTGTGTTCTTTTTTTAAGTTTCTATAATTTTGTTTTTCTACTAGAAAATACATTACCAAATCCAGGAAATCTGAAGTTCTATAAACACTAGGTTTGTTAAAATTCTTTTTCATGACAATAAAAGCTAATGGACATTAAAGAACTGTTTATGAATAAAATGCGTCTCTAGTCACTTCTTATGCTGCTGGAGAGAAGGAATTAGATTTACATTTCATCATAATATTAATTTAGGTACAGGTCTCTCCCACTGTATTTTATTCTCTTTGAGTGAAGAGTGTATGTTATTTATATCCCTTGCTCCATGGCATCGAGCATAATGTCTCATATATACAGGAGATACTCCAAATATGTCAACTATCAAAATAATTTTTCAAAATCTAATGCCATTTCCTATCACCTGATACCACTTCCTATAATTTAAAACTCCTTCATATCTAAGTAATATTAAGAATAATGTGAAACTCATATAAATATTCTGAGCTACACTGAAAATCACACACTACATATCCAACAATTAAATAGTAAAACATTTCTAACAGATTAAGTTTTCGTAACATAATTATAGAAAGGAATTATCTTGCAACTGATTAGACTAATTTCTATCTACTACTGCCAATCTTTTCCAAAATATTTTGGGCAATCTTAAATGGTTTTCCTTTCTTTGCCTGAATATGCGTACTTCTAATACCTTTAACGCTACAAATTTATAACCTAACATTCTAATCCTTCTTAACATAAGAAGCATGTGGCTTTCAATTCACAATTTTCCAGAAGAGTATTTATAATGAGACGTCTCACAAAATTGTTAAAGAAGGCTCTATTATAAAACGATCAGTTGTTGGGTCATACTAGTAGCTCTGGTTGTTATGAACAATACAGAAGGTTTAGCATTCCTAATAAATATACTTCTATATTCTGAATGCTTTTTCTCTTCCCTTGCCTTCAGTTTTCATAATTTGCTCTCTGCTCTAGGGTTCCTACTATTGTCTTAGATATTTCACATTAAGTTTCCACCAGGATGAAGTTTAGATTTTTCAAAAATAACAATCAATATATGCCTATGATCTAATTTACCAAGTGATTATATATTTTATATTAATTTGGCAGTGGGGATGATATATGAGAGTAAAACATTGTTAAAATGAAATATGTAGTCTAGATCTGTTCTTAAAATTAAAATAATTTTCTATAGTCTCTTTCAAATGATCCTGCCTTTTGGAGGGAAGGGGCTAAAATTAATATAACAGGATGCAGTCAATTTCACTGATATATACAGAAAGAAAACTGAGTTTGTGACTTTAAAACAAAGTATGTGATGAAATCTATTTTAAATTGCTTTTCTCTAAAAATAAAGTCTAAGCCAACCACAATAGTGCACCTTGTTTCTATTCAACAGATTTAAATAAATTAAAAAGTTATTGCTATATATCATTTTTATTCCAACAAGCAATATAGAAAATACTTAGCCTGTCGATTTTATTAGTAGTTCCTGTTGAATTTAAATTAGAAGAGACTAAAAATTACTTGTAAGGTTTTATAATCTGTGCAAATATTCATAAAGCTTATTACTCTTTATGATTAAAGATGGTTTTACATAGTTTTGTAACACATATTCAAACCTACAACTGGCAGTTTATGGAAGAACAAGAAAAACCGCAAATTGCCTGGCTACTAATAGATTTTATGAAATAACAAGTGCTAACAAATATACCTATGTTCTATAATTACAAATGGCTTCTTACTAATAGTTTAGAACATTATGGCACTTAAGAATGAAACATGAATTTTTTCTTAGGAAAAATATATATACTGGCTGTGCAGAGACTACAAAGAGATAGTGGGCAGATTAAAGAAAGACAAGAATCAGAGAAAAAAAACAAAATGACTAGAGTACCAAAAATACAAGTACCAAGATCGTAAAAAAATGCAAGTTAATGTGTTTAGACTAACAAACATTTACTAAAACACGCCAAAGTGAAATAAATTAACCAATTTTTTAAAATATGGTATCACTTGGCTACAGCAAACAATTCTGCTTTAAAAAAATTATTTCTTTAGTCAAAGTAAAACTGAATTTAGAACCATTACTCAGGTAAACATTGAGTTCCAGTTTTCCTCAATAATTGTAAAATATTCAGTTACCTAAGAAATGTACAAAGTAATGCATAACTGCCTATAGTGCTTTAATTTTAATGCATATTTTTTTAAGAAGGATATGTAATATAGCATAAGAAGAAAGACCAAAAAATGCATCTTTGAATCACTATTCAGGAACTGTGAATAGGGTAACATTGGCCATTAAGATAATTTTTGGATATTAATATTAGTGAAATCACTAACATTTTTAATAAGTACATATTAAGCCAATAAAAATGAAAAACACTATCAATAGATGTCATGCATATATCTCATACTGAACATCCCCAAAAAAAACATCGGTTGTAGCCTTGCTATAAATCCTACAGTTAGCACCATTTTAATATCTGAACACTTTGAAAAAGCAAACTAAGACCTTATAAATCTAAAATGATAATGAAGATATATGAAAAAAAAAATCAGTATGCACTGACTGGTACTAAACATCTTTCAAATATTTACATCAACACGGAGAAACCTACTGTAGTAATTAAGAAAAACTATGAAACAATGAATATGATTAACTCTTTCTATCCATGTTTATAGCATATATGCGTAACTAAATTCAGTCAGCATTAACCAGCCCATATTTTAAAAGCATAAACAGTAAATATTTGGCTTCTTAAGATAGGCCTAGGCCTTCAAATATCAAAATAAGAGCATTAGTCTTGCAAACTTATTGCCAATTACCGGCAGCCCTAAACCCATTTAGCAGGAAGAGTATCCAGATGACTCACAATGTCTTGTCATTTACAATCCTTAAAAGTACCAAAAGAAAAAGCAGCCCTTTATTTGTTTAAAAGAACTTGAAGCACATGAATGTATACCCAACAGTCAGTATCAATACTCTGTCCAGTCATTCAGTATACTCACACATCTAAGCATCTCTCATCCTAGCAAATCATGGTGCATATCAAGGAAGAAGACAGCTGAAGTTTAAAAGAAACAAATAAAAAAGAAGTCGTAGCAAGGTTTTCACCACATGTACACTTATACACATAAACCACTGTATCCCAGTTTCAGGGGAAAAAAAGTGAATTGCCAAGGTCCTACCTTTTTGTTTTTGATTATTGATTTACTGTGTAATCAAGAGCAACCAAAGCTACTTGTCAATTCAAAGTACTCAACAAAATTTTAAGTCTTCATGTCACTTCAAGTTAAAGAAAGCAATACAGCTTTTGGGTCTCTGAAAACCGGTCATCATCTTTTCACACGGCACAAGTTTCACCACCACGCCATTTCCATAAGTTCACACTTGTCAAAGTGCAGTTAATCCAAAATTACAGCGACAGTATATCATGCCAGCTGAATCCAGCCAGACATCTGAGATAGGGTCATATTTCTGCACGGTGTTGAGATAGGATGACCCTGAGTGACCACCGACTACATAAAGGTAGTTATCAATTACTGCAGCACCAACTCCTAGGAAAAGTGGAAAAAATGGAAAGAAACATTAACCAAGAGACAGGCTTTTTTTCACTAAAAATAAAACATATATTTAATGTTTCCTAAAAATGTTGTGTATTTCAATAATATACTATTAATTACACAAGCAATACAGCAATGTGTGTTCACTGGGGTGTTGGGCAGAGAAGGAACTTTTAAGAGTTAAAATCTCCCTTCACCTCTACCCTTCCCTCCAACGGAGGAAACTACTGTAACTTTCCAGATGCTTTCTTATCACTTTACACATATTTTTCTATAAATCATTTTTATCAAGTTTTCAAGTACACTGAAATACTTCAAATTAATGTTCAACGATATAATTCATGCACTTAACAATTCCACTTTATATGTTATCTAAAGAGAGCAAACCTACCCAAAATCTCACTGCTTCATAGCTTTCCTTCTAAAGGAGACCACAGGAACTATACAGTAAGCACTAGAACAGTTCATAGAAATTATGAACTCCTCCTTGGGGAGGAGAGAACATTTGGAAATGGACATATGGATTGCTGATGAATAACAAATCAACCAGGACAATCAAGGATTTTTTTTTGGGGGGGGTGGGTGTAACATAAAAACACAGTATCTATTATATAGAAAAAAAGGAACTTCTATAAGATCCAATTTATTATCAGCATTTCCTAAAATATGTTCAAGTTTGAGAAACAATAATACACACATTACCTTATTAACATAATATTTGTATTGCTTTATCTAATCTGTCTTACAAGCTTATCATAAAAAAAAAGGTTTTTTTTTTCTCTCTTGGATAAGTAATATGCTTACTGTTACATTCTAAGACCATCATTCTAACAAAGTATCGCCCTGTATGTTTAGAAAATAGTAAGTAATTATTACCTGTTCTGGGTTCCTTCATTGGTCTGCACACAGTCCACTGATTTTGATGAGGGTCATATCTTTCAATGCTTGACAAATGTGAGACACCATTATGTCCACCCACCACAAAAATAAAGCCCAGCATGACACCCACACCAAAGTGAATCCTTTTATCTGCCATAGATGCAACCATTTCCCAGGAGTCCTTACTTGGATCATAACGCTCCACACTGCAGATATTCACAAAAGAAAGAATTAATTTGCACCAGTCCTCCTACTAAAGCATATTTGTTAGAAAAATAAAAAACTTGAAATACCCCACAGCTTTAAAGGTCCAAATAAGTATACAGATATAAAACAAGAGCAGTCTGCCTCAAATGTTTAGATTTTGCTGATGAGACTGCAGGGATAAAAATTTTCCTTATGGAGAAGGTGCAACAATATCATACGTTATTCCATTACATTGTACAAGTATCAAAGTATATTAAGGAGGTCATAGAACCTGGAGTCCAAAGACTTCAGTTCAAGTACTAATGCTCTATATACCTGGAGTTGAATGAACCCTAGCCTACCACTTTGGATCTGTGTAATCTTGGCTAAATCATTTCCTCTCATCTGTAAGAACAGGAGCAGTGCAACCTCAAAGGATTCCCGTAGAAATAAAATCAAATGAGTAGGCATGTGAAAGTACTTTATAAACCATAAATTGAATATAGATGTTTTCTAAAGAGACTAAGGAGCTTCTACACAGTTAAGGAAAAGAGAAGATGAAGAAGAAAGAGAAGAAATTTTTTTCTTACAAAAGTTTCGTGGAGGTTTATTGCAAAGTAACCCCAGCAGATTCTATGATACAAAGGACCTGATTATAATAATCTCAAACTGACTCATTAGAAGAATTCAGAGAAGTTAGTCAGATCTGCATTCCAGGGAACCCTGGTATTTCCCAACCACATTATGTAAATCAAAATCAAATCAGAAATTCTCAAAAAGCTTTCCTAGAAAATCCTGGAAGCCTTTACAGACTAAGAGCAAGCACAGAGGCAAGATTGGAGAGCTTGTTCTGGACCTGACCTAACTTCCTGGAAAAGCCTTTTGAAAGGCTGTGCCATTGTTCTGGAGTCCAGAATAGAGACTAGACAAGAGGTGTCTGAAAGGCCACTGGGATAAAAACCATTAGGCCTAAATCACTGGACAAGAAGAGTTGATAAACTAGGAAGAATATAAACTTTAAGAATATTATTTCAAAACTAAAATATTTAAACTTTTATCTTACAAATTTCTGCCAGCAGCTTTTCAAAGAACAGGAATGCAAGTATGAGCCCCAAATACTCTTCCTTCTAGACTAACAAAAACAAAAACACCAAACACATTGCGATCAAGTCAAATCTGATTCATAGCAATCCCTGCTAGGGTTTCCAAGGTGGTATCACTACGGAAGTAGATTGCCCAATCTTCCGAGGAGTGGCTGGTGAGTTTGAACTGCCAGCCTTCTGGTTAGCAGTCAAATGCCTTAGGCACTATGCCACCAGAGCTTCCTTTTAGACTAATAGGCAATAAAAAAATAATAAGATAGTTTTGCTTAAAAAAGCAATAAAAATTTGCTGGTGGAAATGCTCTTAACACTATTACTTTCTCAGCAAGCCATAAGACAGTCTTTCATTAAAATGCTCAAAATCAATAAAACACATAGCACTCTAATTACTACTAGAGATAATGTTTTTGGAATATTAATTTTCACCAAAGGTCCAGAATTATGATTATGTTCCACATAAGTGGTCATTTTACTTATTCTTATTCTCTCTTTCTCTTATTCAAAGTATACTCCAGAATACAGAAATCTCAAATTAAACCTCCAACAAAACCCAGACATATATGATGATTACAGAGTAAGAATCCAGAAAGGAATATTTAAATAAGGCTTCAAATTTATGATCCATTATAATATCACATAGGCATACAGGAATTACATTTCCTATTTTCTTAATATATTAAAAAATGTAGTAACAGACTATCTATCTACTTGTCACCCAAAAGTCAAAGTTGCCTAACTTCCTATTATTTTTAGGTTTCTGAGTTTTAAAATCTAGTCATTTACAGTGAATGAATGAATATATGATTTAATAAGAGGGTTTCATTTCTTAAGTTGGATAAATTCCAAAGTAAAGTTATTACTAAATTTCCAAATGCCTATCACAATGTTACTTAAACATTTAAAGAATCAAGTTCAGTCATATATATAAAATGTTTAAAACTCAGAAATAATTGTTAATGCTACTTTTAAAAATCTACATGTATATAAAATGTGATTAGTAAGTTAAATACCTGTTCATGTGGGCAGGACCATACCCACCAATGGCATATATCATTCCATCCAACACAGCTGCAGCAAAACAACTTCTTGTTGTAGTCATTGGTGCCACAGGTTGCCATTTTCTTATTTTGGGAATATACTTTTCTACAGATTGTAAGTAAGTCTGTCCATCATAACCACCTAAAGCATAAAGTTCTCCTGCAAGCACTACCACTCCAAGGGTACTTCGGCTCTCATTCATTCTCTCTAGAGAAGTCCAGGTATTTGTATCAGGATTCCAGCATTCTACTGAATTTTCATGTTTTCTGACAGTGACGCCAGGACGCACGTTAGTTTCAATACCGCCTATAACATATACTTTTTGGTCTAAAACGCATATTCCAAATTCATAGCGAGGAATGTTTAGGGGTGCCAAACCAATCCAAGAATCATTCTGAGGAAAATACATCTCCACACTAAACAATAAGAAGAAAAAAATTAAGTTTTAAAAACCAAAATGGCTCATAAGAAAATGTTTAATCTTATTAGTAATCAGGGATATGCAAATTAAAATCACAATAAGCCATTATACACTTCCATATTGACAAAAATGTTAAGTCAGATAATAATAATTGTTGACAAGAATGTGGAGCAAGAAATGTATATTCTCTTGATGAGAGTGTGAACAGTTCAAATTACTCTGGAAACCAATTCTATATTATCCAATAAAGTTTAAGATGCACACATGGTTTGATGCAGCAATTTCATTCCTGTGTATTTACTCTATTGAATGCATATTATAGTCAGCTTCACAACAGGACAAATATAAAGTAATGTTTACACAGCACAACACAATCATTCATCAAAAGAAGAACGATAAATAAGGTAAAGTATATGTGCCTTATGACTGAGCAATTCTATTCCTAGGTATGTATCCCAGAGAAATGTATGCGTATGTGTATGTACAAATGGGCTCCAGTGGGACAGGGGTTAAAGCATATGGCTGCTCTGTGGGAGAAAGATAAGGCAGTCTGCTTCTGTAAAGATTTATAGCCTCTCAAATCCTATGGGACAGTTCTACTCTGTCTTATAGGTTTGTTGTGAGTCAGAATTGATTCAATGGCAGTAGGTGGTTATATGTACAAGGTTGTTCATAGCAACTATTATTTGTAATAACTAAAAACTGGAAGCAATTCAAATGCCCAGCAACAGCAGAATGGATAAATGGTGGAATATCATACAAAATGTATACTATGCAGCAAAATGAATGAACTACAGCTACATGCAACAAGGATGACTCTTACACATACAATGTTGAAGGAAAGAAGCCAAATTCAAAAGATATATTCTGTATAATTCCATTCATATCAAGTTCAAAACAGATTAAAACTAATTCCTGGGCTACCTTTGGGAAAGGCTACAAGAGAGCTTAAAGGCGGCTTCTGGATGATGGTCGTGTTGTTTCTTGAACTGGTTTAAAATATTTACTTTGTGATAAATCACTGGGCTATACACCTGGGATTTGTGTACTTTACTGCATATGTGTAACATTAATTAATTGATAAAATTTGCATTATAGAAAGAAAAGTATTGACATATACTAGAATACATCAGTGAAAGTAAATCAAATACTTCTCCATGTAATCTCACTGATAAACATCACAAATTTCCTGTTCACAAGAAAACACATCTCTGAAGATGCTATATTACTGCATTTATACATAAAACAATTTATTGGGACAAAAATGTGGCAAAAGTATAAACAAAAGCAAAAGCAAAGGGATAATACATTAAAAATTCAAGAAAGTAGTTATTTCTGGGGGAGGAGAAAAATGGCATTGAGAAGGGGACACATTGGGACTTTAAAGGTTATTGTTAATACTCTACTTCTTAAGCTAGGTGATAGAAACTTGGGTATTTATTTTTTATACCCTGCATGATTACTATACATGGTCTTTTCCATATAAATATACTTCATTACAAAAAATACTTGGGAAAAATGCAGCCAATTTCCCCAAACTCAATAATGTTATAAAAATGTATATTCTCTATCCAGTAAGATCCAAACATTCCTTCAATTGTTATTAAAAAGCTACCAAATGCCTATTACAGTCAGTTTTGTTTTAATGTTTGTTCTGAAAACATGAATTTGTTCCAATGAGATTAATGTAGGAATCAATTTGACTATAACAAGGGCAGTTTCAGTGAGGTGGTGGGGCAAATTTTGACTGGGATGGTTTAAAACAGAATGGGAGTTGAGCAAGTGAAAACAATGGGTTTTAAAAACTTTTCCAAGGATTTTTACTATAAAGTGTAAAACAGCTATGAGGAAGTAGCTATAGAGTAGAGCAGAGAGAGAGCAGGAGTCCTGATAAAATTCATTTAACCTGGAAGTTTAAACCAGAATACATTTACATGCTGATAGCAATGACGCAGTCCAGTGGCAAAAGGTGATGGTATATGAGAAAAAACTGTGTACCGGAGAGGATATGGAATAATGAACAAGTGGGGAAGTGGAAGAATGGCCTTAGATAGACAAGCTCAGTTCACTCATGTTCACTCAAAGAAGCAAAGCAGGGTATATGGGTACAGATCAAAGTATCTTGGCAGATTTAGTGATGGGAAAATGAGGTAGTTCTCTTCTGGTTTCTTCCATTTTCTCAACAGAATAAGAGACTAGGTCAACAGCTGAAGGTTAGAAGGGAAGGGGAAAGGGTTTGGGATGTTTTTAGAGAGTAGAAGGCAGGAAAGTGTCCCAGAAAATGAAATGGCAAGCTGACTAAGAAAATGTAGAGGGATTGCTGAGTAATGCTGAGGGCCCTCAGTTAGATCTGATAGGGTAGGTATGTGTGCTTCTCTAAGCCATATTCTACCACTGGGGTGCAGCCATGGCAAAAATTAAGAGTTGAACTGAACTAGAAGAGTATGATGGGAGGGATAAAAATAAGGGAGCCAAGAGTATATTCAAAGAAGTAATAATAGTGATGTTCCTGGAATTTAAGCTGGGTAAAGAGTGGCGGTAAGGTGATGAGCAGTCAGATCTGTTGACTATAAAGCCAATGAAATCCCAAAGAAACAAAGAACTGTTAGAGTGGTATACTGGAATAAATATGGTAACAAGAAAGGAGGTGGTGGTTGTTTTTGTTGTTATGTGCCGTCCAGTCGGACCCGACTCATAGCAACCCCTCCTTGGTTTTCCAAGGCAGTATCACTACGGAAGTAGATTGCCCCATCTTCCTTCCGAGGAGTGGCTGGTGGATTTGAACCATAAGCCTTCTGGTTAGCAGTCAAGTGCCTTAGCCGCTATGCTACCAAAGCTCCCAAGGAAGGAGGTAGTGGTCAGAAAACAGAATGTCTGAAATCAAGATTTTGAATGTGTTGAAATTACTGGCAATGACAAAGTTGAGTATATAATCATCAGGTATGCTGATAACAAACCTAAAGTGAGGCAGAAAAGATTGTTGGAAGTGAGGTCAAGGAGGAGAGGATAAGTGGTCTATGTGGATGCTGAAATCAACAAGAATGATGGCTGAAGTAGAATGGTAAGAAATACACTGTGGCCAGTTATTAAATCTTCAATAAATGAAGTAAACAAAGGACAGTAGATGACAGCAACAAGGAAGGGTAGCAGGTGATACCATGTGATGGAAATGCTTGAAATGAGGGAGAGGAGAGGACCTGTGATACATGAAATGTAGAAAAACAAACACACTTCTGAGCATCAGCCATATGTCATTAGAACAAGAAGATGAGGATAAAGGGAATTTTTATTCTTTTCCTGGGACAGAAAATGAGTTCCAGAAGATATGGCAGAAGGAACTGAGGAGTCAAAAAAAAAAAGTTAGGAGATTAAGTGAAACTAGATGATATACAGAACCATATGATAATAAGAACCCAGTTTATGATGACAGATTAACTATAAGTCATAGACTTGTAGGTATGATTTAGGTAAAAACAGATACAAGATATAAAGGTATTTAATTCATACGGTCTTTGGGGGCAAATGGGTCTTCAGTTCTAATTAGAACTTCTTTCTTTGAATTAAACCCATGGTTTATAGTGCTGAGGTGAGTAATGAGACCACAGTTTTAAAGGTGGTTATTTTTAGTCGCTGTCAAGTCCATTCTGACTCACTGGCGACCCATGTGTGCAGAGTAGAATGTTCCATAGGGTTTTCAAGGCTGTGACCCTTCAGAAGCGGATTGTTAGGCCTGTCTTCCAAGGCACTTCTGGATGGGATGGACCCACCAACCTTTCAGCTAGTAGTTGAACACTTAACCACTTGCACCACCCAGGGACTCTAACTTAAAGGTATATTTAATATATTTGCATAATTATTAAAAAATGCTTTCAGTGTCTTGCCAGTCTAATGACCCCCATGAGTAAGGAGAAACAATACTATTCTGAGAGTTTCCCAACTTTCCTTAAGCCACCTATCCAATCCCTATTTCCCTCTCTAGAAGATATCCTCTCCTAGTTAAAGGAAAAAACTGAGATGATTAGACAAGATCTATCTTAAATCCCCGTGTCCACCTCACCCCCCCACCCCCGTAAATCTACCTTCATATTCCTGTCTCAGGGCATAAAGAGTACCTCTTCCTCCTATTCAAAACCTTCTACCTTTACTTTTGATATCATCCCTTTCTAGTTCTGCTAAGATCATGCTATATGTTCTCATTAGACAGAAAGAAAGGACATTTAAACCAGTCAAGGAATTCATGGAAGACTTCATGGTTTCAATTTATACTTCTAAATTATACTACATGATGACGACTTCCAAAGCTCCAGCCCAGTCTCTTCTTTTGAACTTTGAACTCATATCCAGAGAGCAACAGGGTATCCTTTACTTAGGTGATGGAAATGATCACAGGCACTTCAACTTATTATGTCTAAAACTAAACACGTTATCTTCCCCTTAAAATGGTTCCTTCACCTTTATTCTCTCTCTCTGTTGATGGTATAAGCATCAGCCCAACCATGTAATTAAAAATTTATATGACTCATCTTTGATTCTTCCCTCTCCTCAGCACTTCTCCCAAGGCCCAATACCAAATCCTGTTGATTCATACTCTCCTACATTTCTGAAAAAGTCCCATTTTCTATCTGTACTCATTGTTGTTGTTGTTGTTATTTACCATCGAGTCAGCCCCGACTCATAGCGACCCCTCCTTGGGTTTCCGAGGCAGTATCACTACGGAAGTAGGATTGCCCAACCTTCCTTCCGAGGAGTGGCTGGTGGGTTTGAACTGCCAGCCTTCTGGTTAGCAGTCAAGTGCCTTAGGCACTATGCTACCAGAGCTCCCATCTGTACTCATTACTACTTCTGTAATTCAGGACCTCATAATCTCCCGCCTGGACTTTTACAATAATCTCTTATCTAATCACTATGATGCTAATCCTAGCCCCCTCAATTTTGCTTCATAATGCAGCCACATCTTACCATTTCACATTTCACTATTCTCCTTAAAGTAGTTCT